CTGCGTCCAAGCCATTACATCTCCAAGTGCAATGCAAAGCGTCGGATGCAGTGGTGTAAAGCACGCCGCCACTGGACTCTAGAGACGTGTTCTCTGGAGTGACTAATCACGCTTCTCTTCTGAGAGACTTCCTTTAGCTTCAAAAGGGTCACATCTTGGGCTGAATCAGTCCTAGTCAAATAAGCAGTTTTCTGATATCTGTGCTATTAGTAGATTATTTTCCTTACAATTAAATTATTTTAAATAGTTTGTGACATTTTTAAATCCCTTGCCAGACTCATAAGCATCCACACCTTTTGAGGGCCTTAGAAAGCATTTTTTTAAATCCTGGCATGACAACATCACACGCATCAATAGCAAAGAGAAAACATCAGACCCTAAATACACTATATTACCAAAAGTATTGGGACGCCTGCCTTTACACGCACTTGAACTTTAACGGCATCCCAGTTTTAGTCCATAGGGTTCAATATTGAGTTGGCCCACCCTTTGCAGCTAGAACAGCTTCAACTCTTCTGTGAAGGCTGTCCACAAGGTTTAGGAGTGTGTCTATGGGAATGTTTGATCATTCTTCCAGAAGAGCATTTGTGAGGTCAGGTACTGATGTTGGACGAGAAGGCCTGGCTCGCATTTTCCACTCCCACTGATCCCAAAGGTGTTCTTTGGGTTGAGATCAGGACTCTGTGCAGGCCAGTCAAGTTCCTCCACCCCAATCTCGCTGATCCATGTCTTTATGGGCCTTGCTTTGTGCACTGGTGCGCAGTCATATTGGAACAGGAAGGGGGCATCCTCAAACCCCACACCATAATCCCCCTCCACCAAACTTTACACTTGACACAATGCAGTCAGGCAAGTACTGTTCTCCTCGCAACTGCCAAACCCGACACGTCCATTGGATTGCCAGACAGAGAAGCATGATTCGTAACTCCAGAGAACACATCCCCACTTTTCTAGAGTCCTGTGGCGGAGTGCTTTACACCACTGCATCTGACGCTTTGCATTGCACTTGGAGATGTAAGGCTGGGATGCAGCTGCTCGGCCATGGAAACCCATTCCATGAAGCTCTCTATGCACTGTTGTTGTGCCAATCTTAAGGTCACACGAAGTCTGGAGGTCTGTAGCTATTGACTTTGCAGACAGTTGGCGACTTCGGCGCACTGTGCCCTTCAGCATGCGCTGACCCCGTTCTGTCATTTTACGTGGCCTACCACTTTGTGGCTGAGTTGTTGTTCCCAGTTGCTTCCACTTTGTTATAATACCACTAACAGTTGACCGCGGAATATTTAGTAGCAAGGCAATTAAATGGAACATATGACTCCAATGATTTGGACTATAGTGTATTTTAGGTTTACATCACATATTCCACCTGTATACTTACAAAGGAATCTGGAACATCTAATCCTAATCTTATGGGTTTGGTTTGAAGAGGTGGTAAATGTAACTATGTAAATATAAAATGTATACTTATTTTCAAAGTGACAATTCTGCATTTTTGTTAATTGAAATGATCAGTATGAATACACCATGGTAATGTTATATGTCACCTGCTAAAGTATATAATATCCTCATCACCCACGTGGAAGAGAAATATATTTCAAATATATTTAGCAAATAAATTTATATATGTGACATATATTTACAATATATTGTCTGACTCAAATATATTAAGATATATTCAAAAAATGTAAATGAAAATATATTTTCCAAAGTCATATATTTGAAAATATATTTTTAAAATATATTTTTTATATATTTTTTTAACATGGAAAAAAAGACATTTCAACATATATTTTGAAATGTATTTGGGAATGCATTCCAGAAATGTAATTAATGTATTTTCCAAAGACATATATTTGAAAATATATTTTTAAGATTTTTTAACATGTAAAAACAGACATTTCAGCATATATTTTTAAATATATGTGGAAATGCATTCCAAAAATGTAATTAAAATGTATTCTCCAAAGATACATATTTGAAAATATATTTTTAGTACATATTTTCCAGATATTTATAACATATAAAAAAATCGATCTTAACATATATTTTTAAATATATTTGTAAATGCATTCCAAAAACATAATTTAAATGCATTTTCCAAAGACATATTTTAAAAAATACATTTTCCAGTTATTTTTTAACATCTAAAAAAGGCATTTAGACATATATTTTTTCAGAAATGTTTGTAAAATTGACTTGGAATGTATTGTTTAAAAAAAAAGAAGAAAAATCGCTATAAAATAGCTAAATATTCTGAATACATGTCAGAGACTTCCTGTCATTTTAATCTAGTTTGCAATGTTCTTATTTTTAAAGTTTTGAAATTGACATCAGTTTCACATATCTGGAATGACACAACCATGGCAGAAACGTTTTCTGCAGTGTGTGTGTGTGTGCGTGCGTGTACTGATGGAACCCTATTGCACTGAAATTGTATTGTAACTGTACCATCTCCCTATTTTGTAAAGTGCTGCGTAAACTGTTGTCGCTATATTAAAACTGTATAATAATAATCATCATCACTCACATTCATATGAGGGATGTATAATGATGGAAGTTATGATAGATAGATAGACAGACACACAGACTATATAAATATATGAGAGAGAGAGAGATATCAAAAATGCATCTCCCATCACTTACATACAGTACATGTAAAAGTGTGTGTGTATCAAATTTCTGTGCCTTCAGACAATCTCTTAAAATGTAAAATCAACCCTGGGTGCACTCTCAGCATAGATTGCAGACAGAGTATAGCAGGTCTGTGGGAGGAGCTCGGCTTAGCTGGAGCTAGAGGGTGAACTTTCACCTCTCACTTCCTGTTTCTGGTCTGAGCCGCATGGGCTGAGAGCTCTCTCTCTATCTGTTCTCACAATCCTCCATTCTCCTGGATCTAAGGTAACACATTGTCTTATCAAATAGCATTAGAATGGTGGAAGTAAGGTGAATGATTCAAGTTTTATGAATATTTGGTTATTCCTTGCTCAGTAGTTCTCATTCTGTATTCATTCACCTCCATATCACATCCAGTCACCATGAGCTCTGTGCACACAGTACTGCAAGTATATATGGCTCCCCTATATATGGCTCCAGTCACCACGCAGCATGAGCTCTGCACTCAGTGTAACAAATATTGTATGTCTCCCCTAATGTATATATTATTCTCTGCCCTGCTACCCAGTTCTGTTAGTCTTGTGATTCCAACTCCCTAAGTGCTAGTATATAGTATGTTCCAGTGTTGTAATATTTATCCCTCAACCTTCCAACAGTTTACTCAATATTAGTCAATATATGTATATAGTACAGACTTGATCTCATTAAAGTGTATGCATTATACTATATGTAGAGAGGTTATGAAAGGGCAGAGGGACTGGTGCATCACAAATACTGTTACAATACAGACTGGTGCCCAGGGGAGGATTTAGTCACTCATCTCCCAGCAGCAGACATTTTGTAAGTTCAGCCCTATATGAAAGAAAAATAAATCTTAACCACTTGCTGACCGGGTGTTCCCCCTTCTTGTCCCGGTAATTTTTCATTATTCAGCGCTGCAGTACTTTGACATTTATTCAGTCATGCAATGCTGTACTGAAATTAATTTTATACCATTTTTGGGGACAGATGGAGCTTTCTTTTGATGGTATTTAATCACCACTGGGGTTTTAATTTTTTACTATGACAAAAGTTTGAGGAAAAAAACAGTTTTCCCTACATTATGTTATTAAACAATTATCATTACCCAATTTGTTAAAATATAAAAGACGGGGTCACGTTGGGTAAATAGACACCAAACATGTCAAGCTTTAAAATTGCGTGTGCCCGTGAAATGTCAAAAAACTACTATACCTAGAATTGACCATAGGCAACACTTTAAAAGCTTTTACTGCTCATCAATTTAGTGTTAACAGTGATTGATGGCCCTAAAAGTATTGCTCACACTCCCACGTTCGCGGCAATATGTAACATGTGTGGCGTAATCGTCTTCACACATTGGCGCAACAGAAGCAGATTTACGTTTATATGTGCTGGGGGACTTAATTTTTGGGAGCGGGGTTTAATTTTTTGAATATTAAACTAATTGTTTTTAAACTTTTATTTTTTAAACTTTACTTTATTGCTATCACATAGGGATGCTCTCATAGTCAGGTACGCAATCCGTGGCCGCGTGCCTGACTGAATTTCCACTCGCCCTCTCTTTATTTCCACTCACCAAATGCGAGCGGGCAAGTGGAAATTTTGAGCCCTGACATAGGGGAATAACAAGCCACCTATGTGATAGCCAATATACACTGACAGGTCTTCTTTATGGAGACAGGGTTCACTAAGACCCCTAATGTCACCTTGGGAACCCCCAAGAAGCTGATGAAGCAGAGATCTGCTCCACCGGCTTCTTCTCTGGCTATAGCAGCCAGAGAAATGATAGCTAAAGGTGGAAGTGATGTACTACACATTGCTTCCCTCTTCAGAGAGAGAAGAGGAGTGATCCGCAGAGGGGAATGCTGATCTTGCCTCCATTCTCTGTATGGACAGTCGCTGTGCTAGTAACCGATAGTGAAGGGGGGCCACGGCAGCAGAGGGTGGGCTCACTCTACATTGTAATACAAGCAATTGGCTGGCTGTAGAGCTGGCCGAACACTTCTATGTAACAGTTGGTACAGGCCCGGCGGGATTCTGCTTGCCCGCCTGCAGAACAGAAATGACGTATAGGCACATCCACCTGATGGGAAGTGTCTGCAGTCCTCCCGTGTATTTACAGTGGGCAGATGGCAATCGGTTAACATAGCATCACAGGAATATAAACTAACCTAATAAAATAGGCACATTGCTAATAGAAATACAAATCAAAAGCCTTTCTGGCAAGTGGAGATTCCCTTTTATTATCAGCACCCATTATTTTTACATTATTTCCCACAAGGTCTTTGATTTAGCACTGCTGAAGTTTGGACTGCACTGCGCACAATGACAACGTTTGCTTTGGTGAGATGGGAAGAAGGTGACGATGAACATACATACAGTGTGATATAAATGCGACTGGATCAGGGGCTATAAAGAAAATGAAGTCATCACTGGGCGGGAAACATATGATGGAATGGCGACAAGGGAAATGCCCTCCAGGAGGTTGGCCTTGCTATGAAGCAACTCTACTGGATGTTGATGGTAATGTAATTCATTTATCTGCTATACTAGAATAATGCTCTAAGGGTTAATGACTCATTTAGGACAATTATCTACATTGAGCCATATTTGTCCAACCTTTTTTTTTTGCCAAAATAATAGAAAAGGGTCATGTAAGTTACCTCAGCCTGAATAAGGTTAGCTTATTTAACTTATCTGTAGTATATTTATGTTAATTAGCACTAAAATTCGTGCATTTATAAGAAAGTTAACCACCATTTAAGTCTTAATGATTTAAGTTCAGTCATTGTCCCATGTTTTGTTGATCTTGACTTGTATTAAAACATTGCAGTAAAATGACTGTACTACACTTACCTTGACATTAAAGTAAGAACTTGATGTCCGGAGCAATCTTTTAATATTTGCACACATGATAAAATCTGAATTTTGGGGGGGCGTGGCCAAGGCATGGATCTGTGAGGACGTGCAGCGTGTGAGCTCCGTACCTCGGCGGCCGATTTTACAGACTAGTGTGTCAGCATGTCGACGAAAAAGAAGAAGAGAGGGAAGGGGACCCCAAAAACCGGGCCGAAACAAGATTTCCGCCGGTTCTTTACTCAGCAAGACCCGAGGCCGAGTGCCGGCGGATCCAAGATGGCGCCCGCATGTGTCTCTCCGGCCCGCAGCAGCAGCTGCGTCGTCTCAGTCTCAGGATGCAGACGCCGCCGCCTCCTCTGCGGATGAACGGGCACGTGAGTCCCCCCCATGCAGCCCTATGCTGACGAGATCGGATGTCTTGCAGGGCTCCCATCACCCGCCCGCGCCGGCGGCCCACTCCCCGGTGTCGGGACAAGAGCTCAGGGGGATGTTCGAGACGCTCAGAGCAGACCTGGCCATGATGGTGGAACGCTTGGAGGGCTCCCTGAAACAGGAACTGACGGCGGTACGGCAACAGGTAACGGGGGTTGATGTGAGAGTGGCGTCCCTGGAATCCAGCAGGGCCTCATTCGACTCCCGCCTGCAGGCGATGGAGCTGATGCAGGCTACCCATCTACAAGCTATGGCTACCCTCCGTCTTAAGATGGATGATGGTGAAAATAGAAGCCGCAGGAACAACGTCCGCATTAGAGGTATCCCTGAGGCCACCACTGGTCCGAATCTACGCTCTACAGTGACTGCCATATGCTACTAGACAGGGAGCCTACCCATGCAGTGGAACTAGACCGAGTACACAGGGTGTATGGCCCGGCTAATACTAGAGATGGCGCACCCAGAGATGTGCTGTGTCGCATCCATTTCTTTACGTTGAAGGAAGAGATTATGCGTCGGGCGTGGGTTAAGAAGACGGTGGACTTTGATGGTGCTTCCATATCTTTCTTACCTGACCTCTCTAGCCACACGCTCTATATGCGGAGACAGCTACGACCGGTCCTCAGGTGTGTGCAGGACGCTGGCGCAACCTATCGCTGGGGCCATCCATTCCACCTGTTGGTCCGTAAGGGGAACCGTACATTCGCTTTACATAGGCCGGATCAGCTACCTGTGCTGTTCTCCCTGTTGGAATGTGACCCTGTCCCGGTACAAGACTGGCTGACCCCCATGACGGAGCGATTAGAACCCCCAGTCCACAGCCAGAGGCCAAGGAGACAAAGATCTCGCAGGCCTCGGGGAGATCGGAGTCGAGACCGTGCCGGCCCGGCGTCCAGGGAGGACTAGGATCAACCGTCTA